CCCCGTAGCGCCGGGAAAGGGGCAGATGGAGAAGAAGCTGCAGCACGAGGGCCCCCGTCTTTAATTTTCCTCCCTCTAAGCCTCCTCCAGTGCCTGTCACAGGTCGCAGGGAGGGATCTCTGTCTGCCTGCCTTCCTTGCAAAGGAAGAGGTGCTCACAGCCTTTTCTCGGCCCGGCACAGGCTGTCAGCAAGGAGGGTGTCAGCAACAGTGTCTGCAGGACCAAGAGACAGGCCATTTGTGCTCTTGAACTGCCCCTTGCACGCCGCAGCATTGACAGACAGCGGGAGCGGAGGTGCTCTGGGGCCTGTGTGGAATGTGCTGCTCAAATCCAGCCGAGGTTCATTTTATACTGTTTGTCTTTTACAGGATTTGTTCTGGGAGGCGCATTTGGTGTCTTCACAGCTGGCATCGACACCAACGTTGGGTTCGATCCCAAGGATCCATATCGCACGCCAACCGCAAAAGAGGTCCTGAAAGATATGGGGCAGCGAGGCATATCCTACGGAAAGAACTTCGCCATTGTGGGTGCCATGTTCTCCTGCACCGAATGCGTGGTAGAATCTGTGAGTAACAACTTCTTAAGCATTAAGAAATGTTTTCTTGTACACTTAATAACCTCTTTTACTAGATCCAAATAAGTATGTCTATCCCCTTTGTAATAGGGCAAGGGAGCAGGCTAGTGTATTCTGTTTCTTGGCCATCAAAGCTTTTTAGCTTTGAGACCTGTCTTCAGAACTGCTGTTCTCTGACGGAATGAGCAGAAGAGCATGTAATAGCAAAGTCCTTTTCAGTTCAAGTCCTGAATGCATTGGCAAGTATAGGCATTACTTTTTAAAACCCTAGCTACAAGTACTTGTTACTTTAAAACATCAAACTGCGAGTTGTAACATGGTAATTTGAGCCTCTAAAAATTCCATATGCAGAAAGGGATCCTTTGATGAAAGTTCCTAAATAACAGGCCTGTTTTCATCTTGCCCCTAAAGCAAGAAATGACCTTGTGCAGCTCAGTGGTAAATCTGTCATCCATTTTCTTAAATAGGAAAATTAGCCTGTTATGAGTTTGAGTACTGCCTTTTAATTGAAAGACACAATTATTTCTTAACTCATCTAGGAGAAAAGTGTATCTGCTTGCACAATGGAGCAGAACAAAGAGATCTCTGCACTGGTGAAAAACTAGCGAGCTCTGGCTCTGGAAATAGTACATCTTTGTTGGCAGGGTGCTGTGGCTTTCACCTGCGCTGAGAACCAGGCTGCAGGGCCAGGCTCAGCGTTGCACTCGCGTAGTTATAGTGCCTTTAAAATCTCTGAGCTGGTGCTAGTGCACAGTGCTGTGTTCTGGGGGCTGTATCGGCTCACCTGAGAATCTTTGCTGTAGCACTGCATTGCACCATATGGATTTGTCTTACCTCTCCCGTGACCCGTTCCTTCCTCTTCTCCTGGCCCTGCAAATCTTATGTTTGAGAGCGCAGGGGGCCATCTGCTGAGAATAGAGGGAAAAGCATCCTCAGATGAGAAGGGGCTGGAACGTCATCTAAGGGAGGTTTAGATTGGATATTAGGAGAAATTTCTTTACTGAAGCATTGGAACAGGCTGCTCAGAGAGGTGGTGGAGTCCCCATCCCTAGAGGTGTTCAAAAACCGGGTAGACGTGGCACTTGGGGACATGGTTTAGTGAGCATGGCGGTATTGGGTTGATGGTTGGACTGATGATCTTAGAGGTCCTTTCCAACCTTAGTGATTCCTAGTTTTACCTTCATTAAAAAACAAATCCAGCCACCAAGCCAGGAAACATGAAATTAATTATTACTCTACCCTTAACTGGTTTAGTGGTGGACTTGGTAGTGTTAGGCTAATGGTTGGACTTGGTGATCTTAAAAGTCTTTTCCAACCTAAACAATTCTATGATCTTTCTTGGTATTAGTACAGATACTGAGTGTTTATTCCGTATTTACTTGTTGTCTCTGATTTGTAATTCCACAGTATCGTGGAAAGTCAGACTGGAAGAATAGTGTTATTAGCGGCTGCATCACAGGAGGAGCAATCGGCTTCAGAGGTTGGTAGTGCCTGCTATGAACTATTTCTGTGATAAGACTCTGATTTGGGTATGCAGCACGCGGTGTTTTTACCGGAACACACACTACAAATCTCTTTGCGTGAGGTTATGCTGATGTCAACAGGAGAATGTACTCCAGACTGGCAGAACTGTGCTCTCTATTGCTTTCCTGTCAGCTTGAAAGATACGTCTGGGTAGGGAAGGCCTGGTAGTACAGGACAGTGAGATTGGAGGAGAACCAACAGAGTTGACTTGAAAGAAAAATCAGGAAATGGTGTTAGCTATCCACAGTCTTCTGTGGTGTCGTGGCGAGGGAGCCAAAAATACGTACTGAGCAACTCTCTGAAGCTACAGCTCTTGTGTTAACAGAGCTCTACTTACATATACTGTTTCACTGGCAGTAACTCTTAATTTGCACAGCGTGTAAAATGCTTTCCTCCTTTCTCATGTATCAATTCAAACAGACAATTCTATTTAGCTGTAAAAGAGCAGGAGCACTGGGGTTTTAGTCCAGCAGGCACTAGTGAGGACTTTGGGAAGCCTTGAGCACTAACAACATCTGGAGAAAAGCCCCAAGTAGGAAGAGAGCTGCTCTGCTCATCAAAAATATCAAACTTCTCTCACCTCTCCTTAAGAAAAAAAACATGTCCACAGAGCATAAAAGAAAAGAAAGTGCTCTTGAAAGTGCTTCTAATTGAGCTTGTTAAGTTGCGTCTGCCCTGGACCTAATCCTCTTAGAGCTTTCAAAGCAGGAGCTGCTCTGCCTATCCCTCCCTAGTCCAACAGCAAAGCTCCACTTGCAGCGCTCATATCGGAGCGCACTGAAATCAGCAACGGCCGCTGGTGTTTTCTCTTCTGTCCCTTGGGGGGAGACTCGGCAGCACAGCACCCAGCCAGCATGCCCTGCTAGTCCAGCCGTGGTAGTTTAAGTCCAGCGTGTGCCAGGTTTCCCCCCCTCACCTTGGGCAGCGGGTAGTGCTAGCGTGACCCTGGTAGCGGACCGCCAGGCTCAGGCAGGTGTAAGCTCTTCAAGCCAGCACAGCGTAAGCTAGTTACTGGGAAGAAAAATATCTTTCCTATTTTTGTCTCTTATTCTTTCCCACCCTTTTTGCATTTGCAGCTGGTTTGAAGGCAGGGGTTATCGGCTGTGGTGGATTTGCCGCTTTCTCCGCCGCGATTGATTACTATCTACAGTAACAGTGGGATCCCTTGGGAGCCAGTTTCCCTTTTGTTCCAGTGCTGCTGCTGAGAGCCTGCATCATGGCAGAAGAACCATCAGGCTTACCTTTCCACTGCCTTTGGAGTCCTGATCAGCGCAAGCTGGATGGTGTTGGCTGCTTTTCCTGAATGACTAACAATAATCTGGCTCTGAGCCCTGGCGTGCTGCTTCAGGCAGACTTGCTGGAGCATGTGAGGATGGAGCCAGGCACAGCGAGCAGTATCTCCAGGATGGATCAGCTGACTGTCAGTTTCCAGGAAATAAGCCTGGACTCTGAGTTTTTTCAATCCTTTGGGTCTGATTTTGATTAAGTCTGTTGCTAGCATCAAAAGAGGCAGGAGGACAATCTTCAAAAAGAAATGCAGTGATTTAGGTTACCGTGTATTTGAACGTGCTGCAAGTGTTTAACAGTTACCAGTTTGCAGCTTGCTACTCTGTTGGGGAGAGGTAAGATCCTGTGGAGAAATAGTTTGTTCCAGGCTTTTCTTAAAATACCAGCTGAAAACAAACCACCATCTGTACAACTTGTCTTATTTCAAGTACAGAGATGAGAGCCAAATTTCTTTACCATGTCTTAAAGGGAAAAGCAAAAAGGAATCCTTAGCCTTAGAACCGTGTGGTTACTGGCAGATGAACAAAACAGTTTAAGGGGGAAAAAAAAGAGGTTATTGCAAAGTATAATTCTCTGTAGCCACTTGGCTAGCCTGATTTAACCTCACTGTGGGAGTACAAGTAATCTTGCTACTGCTTTAACTGCCACAGGCTCACACCATTAGTTCCAGCAGTTTGATGGTAAGACTAGAAAGTAGAGTTGTGGGAATAAACCACTGTTAGACAGATAACTGGGCATTCACTTAACGCACAGTCTGTTTCCCATCACATCCCTGTTCCACCTCTGAGTGCCCCAGTGTTACGTGGGGTAAAGTGAAGTGTTATTTCTGCAGAATTTGAAATACCTGTTTGCTAGCTCGAGGAACTGCTCCCTTTTTGATATGCGTTCATATTAGCCCTCTTGCTCTTCCAACCAAGTTCTATTCTTGGACCTCAGGGGGTAGTTTTTATAGTCAGAATAGTTTAGATTGATTTTTAACCTTCCTTAAGCCACTCCACATGGGCAAACATCCACCCTCATCTTTTTGAGGCAGTGGGATTTCAGATTCGGTGCGCACACCTAATGAGGGTTCTCCCACCCACTTTCCCCTCCTTTGCATTCATAGTTTGGCATCCCAGAATGGTGACAGCACTTGCTTACCTGGAAAAGCAGTACTAGTAGGGTGGTTTGGCTGATATGGTGGTCAGCGCTCAGTTTGGAGGCATAATCTCCCATTCCCACATGGAAAGAAGTGGGGAGACAGCACCATGTGATCTATCAGATGAGGTTTCCAGATCGCCTGATGTCCCTTGCTGTGCCTGTTCAGTATCCTCAGGCTAGGAGCTGTGCAAGTCAGCTGAATTTTAAGCTTGAGTAATTCTGGGCTGATTAAACAGGCTGGCTCCAGACAGTCCAGGTTTTTTTTTTTTTTTTTCCTCCAGAACGTACTGAAATGCAAGGATGTAGCCCAAACCGTAAGATGTCTCTTAAAAAATTGTCTGGCACAATGCCTGTGCTTATACCACTGGCTTGAAGTGCAACTAGCAAGATTTCCACGACAGAAAGAGAAGCAGCTGTGATGCTAAGGTGATCATGATGTTAGTGCAAAGAGCAACACTATGGGGCTCCTTTTGTGCAAATGTTGGGGCTTTGCATTTTTATTAACATTTTTTTTTTTCTCCTCACATGGTTTACAGCCATTTAAAGTTTATAATCTACAGAAATTGAAACAGAACACAAACAAAAATATATCCTTAACAACTTTTGAAAGTCAAATATTAATTAACAGTTCTATTCTACCTGTAGCTGCAAGAGTCCACCCCCCTCTTTTCCTTCCTGTAGGGACAAGCAAAAGCCGGTCACGGGGACGGCCGCAGCCTGTTGTGCCGGGGCTGTGTGGACCAGGCCTCCAGCCACTGTCACGTGGGGGGGATTTGGCTGTACAGAGTCTCCATCTGGAATGACAGTATCGTGGACAGAGACTTGGATACATATAACAAATCAGACACACGCAGGGAATCTGTTGTGCAGTCACATCTAAAACTCAGCCTCCTTACTGGGTCCAGGGCCAAGACAGACGCCTGGTTATTTTCTGCAGTGCTGTTTCCCTTCTGTTTAGCTGGTAGTCAAGAGGAGCAGGGTCTGGAGTGTGAGCCCTTTGGAGGGGGAACTGAAAGACCTCCCCTCCTTTAGTTACTTTGCTGGTGCGGGGCTGGCAGGTGCTGCCTTCCCCGGGGAGGTGGGCTTTGGACGTACCTGGTGCACCGGTGGCAGGCGGCCGGGCTCTACCTGGAACAGTCTGTTAGTCAGGAGGGTAAAGCTAATGCCACTGTTAGTAGGGATATGCTTGGTCACTTCTCATCCATCTCCATTTGGCACAGGAGAGCACAGGGCCAATGCAGTCGGGGAGGGGGCTTTTCCCACAAGAACGCAGACTCGGCTCACAGAGCGAAAGGGGTTTTTTTGTCCCAACAGGTACCAGCACCTACCTGTGAGTGTGGGATGGTGGGGACATACTGGGAGCCAGGCACTGGGGCAGCCGGAGCACAGCCTGGCAGCAAGCGCAGGCAGGTGGCTATCCTGCCTTGGGACGTGGCATGACAACTCCAGTCATCAGTCTGGGGGTCAGGAACTGGAGCCACTAACTAAAACGGACCTGAGCTGGCCAGGCACAGCTAACCCAAGCAGCAACTGCTTTGTGAGAAAGAGCAAATGAAGCACTTCTGCCCCCCCCGACAGTGAGGGCCATGAAGGCTTTCCTCCTCCCGTCCCTCTGCGCTGGGTGAGCATGCAGCCACCACACAGAGCACTCGCCTCTGGCAGCCTGGGTGGCACCGAGGCAGGGCGACGTGCTGCCGTTTGCCTGGTGCCGCAGGGAAGGCCAGGGAGGGAAAAAAACCTCCCCGCGCTCGTGGCCACGGCAGGAGCGCTGGTGCCCCAACAGGCTCTGCCACGGGGCGCAGCTCCCCTTGCAGTAGCGGTGGGCTGGCAGCGGTGCGCGCCTCGTTCATGCATGCTGTGCTACGGGTGTACAGAAATGGCAGGGACCCTGTTCCCTGCCCTGCCAGGGCTTCTTGGGGAAATTGTGGGACCCACGTGCCCCGATGGGACCCCGTCGGTGCCAGAGCACAGAGCTGAAGGTCAGCCCATGGCGGAGGGAGCGGACCTGCCCAGCTGGCCACCCCTCAAGCCTGCCGCGGATCGAGACCAGCGCAGCACCTCTCGCTCCAGCCTTGTGTGATGGGTTACCCCAAAACGCTACTCGGAGGCGAGAAACAGCGAGGGAAGTAACCGCCATGCTACACGCACACAGGCAAAGCACAGGATAAGGGCTGTAGAGGGGACTGGCCTGAAAGCACCCAGAAGAGACGTGGCGAGGAGGAAGCAGCACCCGGCTCCTCTGCTCTCACAGTCGCAGGTGTCCTCGGGCCAGAGCAGGATCCAGGCATGGGGTCCAATGTTTGCGCAGGCAGCAAGCCAAAGCAGAGCTGGTCGTCACCGGGAAGGGAAGCCCGTGAGCTCCCAGTCTCTGAAGCGAGCCGGTGCTGCACATGCAGGCGTGGAGCAAGGGAGCTGGGCAGCAAAACAGGCACTCGTGGGATGCTGCAGGCTTCGAGCTGGGCAAGACAAGGGGCGCCTCGTAGGAGTGAGCAGGCAGAAAGGAGTCCAGGAGAAAACTAGCCAAGGGGGAAGCCTGTGTCCACAGCCCTTGTCAGTCACTACCTCTTCCGTTGAACAAATATACATAAAAACAATTCTTGAACACAAGAAGGGACATAAGACACGACTACTTTACAGAGCGGCATGGCGCCTGGGGTGGGACCGGGCCACTGGTACGTGATTGTACAGGAGCTGCAGGCGGCACCGTCCTGGGTCCAGGCCGGTCTCCCTGGGGGGCTGCGATCCAGTCCGTGTCCCCTAGCAGGGAGCTGGGAGTGTTTGCAGCTGGTGCCTTCTCCCTGCAGGCTACACGTCCGTGGAGAAGTAAAGTGTGTTGCGTTTCAGCTCAGTGAAGGAGATGGGAGGATGCTGCAGGTAGTAGAGAAGGACCTGGACCTGTAGCAGGCAAAAGGCGGGGGGGGGATGTTAGGCCAAAAAAAAGGGCAGAGCTGCCATGTCCCAGCTTGTCCCTGTGCAGCCGCATCCAGCAAAGAGGGACAAACCCACCCAGACAGGCAGGTAAACCCCTCCGCTCCCTGCCCCAGGGATGCTGGCGTGGGCTGTGGCCCCGCACGGCTCTTACCTGGGCCATCACGTCGTGGGACCAGATGTCGGAGGCCAGGGTGAGGTGTGCCTTGCTCTCCCCCTCTGAGGGTCTCAGCAGTGTCGGCCCAAAGACTGTGGCCAGATTGTGGAGAGACATTTTGTTGATGGGCTCCTTTTCAGCTACCCTGCAGGGTACGGGGAGAGAGGGAGGGTGAGACCCTAATGCCGTTCTCCCGGAGCAGCACAGCCATGGGGCGAGTGCTGATCTCCCTTCTCCCAGCTCCAGCAGGGCACCTCCAGCTTGCCCGTGCCCTTCGCAGCCCCCAGCAAACCCAGGTGCAGGGGAGGGAGCTCTGCCCCCTTCATGGCCTCCGCCGAAGCCGCCGGGCCTGGCCGGGAGCCCCGGGTGTGATGTGGCAGCCACCAAGCCCTTGCTTGCTTATGTGCTGCGGAGCCTCCACCCTTCCCAAGCCCTGGCAGGGTACGGAGAGCTCCACACCAGCCCGCGCCTCCCTGCACCCGCTCCCTCCAAGGCTCCCTACCCCTCCGACCCCGCAGGACCCCAGCCAGCCCGCACCGAGGGAAGCAGGGCCACAGCACTGCCATGTTAGGAGGCAGCTGTGCTCCCCGGCACAGGCTGCACGGTTGAGCCCCAGCCAGGGGAGCAGATGTGGGAACTGGCTGTGCCCAGTTCTCAGGATGGAAATGGATTTTTCCTTCTCCACCCCCCAGCATCAATCACTTTTTCTATTAGGTTTTAGCCAAACCACAGGAAAAAAAAGGAAAAAAAAAAAACCCAACCCAAAAAAAACCCCACTTCATGATGCAAGTAACATGAGCTGTGAGCCCCGGTCTCAAACTCATGGCCAGCTCTGGCCGGGCTCTGTGTGCTGCACCGCTGCCCTGCCCACAGCCCCGTGCCCTCCGTGGGTTTCAGGAGACCCCGGTGAGCCCCAGAACCACCCGTCCCCAGGTTTGGATGGGTTTCATCTGGGCCAAAATAAAGCTCAGCAAACCACGCATTGCTGCACTCGCTCCAGGATGAGCGACGCGGGGCATCACCTGCAGCTTTGGGACATGTCTGCAGAGCTGACCGTCTCTGGGTCTCGGCCACCCACTGCAAACAAGTTACAGGGATTATCACACCTTGTTTTGCAGGGGCGACTGGTGGGAAGGGATGCAGCACAGTTTTCCTGCTAAGGGGGACACTGCACAGCTCCCAATTGATTCCCTGTCCTGCACCGCAGCCAGCTGCTCCCCATGGAGAACTTGTCCAAC